CCCCTGGGGCCCTATGCTACACGGCAAGACCAAGCGGGACGAAGGGACACGACCAATGCCGTCTGCTGCGATTGGTCAGTGGCGCGGTGGCTGACCACTCGATGCAGACGACGTCGTCCCGGTCCCTTGGTTCCGCTTCGTCCCGCCGTGGCCCCTGGTCTACTCCTTGCACACCTCGTACGTCTGCTTACGCCCCGAGCGCCCCCCCCCCCCCCCCTTTAGTACTTTTGTTTTTCATCCCGACCTCAACTAATGACGGCGCGCGCTTGGCTGCCTCGTCATCTCGCGCTCCATGGGCGTTCTTTATGTTACCCCTTTTAATGGCGTGCTCGTACTTGCGTTCCGATGCGGCAAAACCGCTTTTTGGGACCCCTATTCTCCGCCGTATACGTAGACCTTTCGCTGGCGTATCACCCGGGCGAAAAATGCTGACTTGTGGACGCATGCGCAGTGTCTGGTATGCCGCACAGCAGATTAACAGCGCATGCTCAGAAGGTGTTCCACAGCCCAGCAGACAAAGATGGCAGCGCGCAGAAGGCGATTCTTGGAAAGGTATATAGACCAACGCACCGTTTACAAACAAGTCGGTATATGCCCACACGCAGAAACCAGAGTCACGTGATGTGAAGCGTGCGCGCACGCGCAGTGCCGACCGCAGCGCTACCGCAGTGCCGTGACGTCAGAGAGGCGAGTTGGTGTAGGGTCACCGACGTCTTGAGATAACGCGGGGCGCGTTGAGTTCCGGGCATATCATTATCGCTTCGCAGTCGATGGGATTGAGCTATCGGCTAATAAGAATTTGCCACAGGAACGAATAAAAAGCGAGGAATTCGTAAGCACGATAAGCAAAGTTCACATTCACTGTAGAACGTGTTGGTAATATTGACAGACCACGGGAAGAAAATTCACAGGTTCTGTTATGTTATCCCTAAGCCGACCGGAAGGCGAAAGCCCACGCGCCGATGCATCAAAGACAGACACAAGGTTTGCTTAATTCACTCTGATTCCTGTCAATTCCATTGTCTTCTGTCTTAATTTCATTGCCTCTAATTCGCATGAGTGGTGACGTAAGCGTTAGAGCGAACCTCTAAAAACAGCGCGCTCTCTGACGACGCATCTTTTGAAGCCGTTTCGTTGGTACCTTTCGTTCTGGTATCAAACTGAGATGGAAATGGAAGCCCACATAAAGAAAACAATCGAATCGCCACACAAAAGGAACTCAGGAAGAAAGATGTTCGTCGTCTTTCGTTCCGAGTTTGTTTTATTAAGGCGACAGCCTTATATGTATCATCGTTCAGTCGACCTTCAGAAAACAGGTCAGCGACACGAAAGGTACCAATGAAATGGCGCCAAAAGTGCGTCGTCAAAAAGCGCGCTGTCTTCGGAGGTTCGCAATCCGCAGGACCATAGCCGACACCACGATCCGATTGAGCCAATGAAACGGCGCCAAAAGCGCGTCGTCGGAGGGCACGGTGTTTTTGGAGGTTCGCAATCACGTTTATGTAACCCCCAGCTGAATTAGAGGCAATGAAATTAACAAGGATGACAAAGCGCATTAAGAGGAATCAAAGTGAATTAAGTATATCATGGGGGGGGGGGGGGGGGGTGTTTTTAATGCATCGGCGCATGGGTTTTCGTTTCCAAGTCGTCTTAGGAAGAACGTAAGAGACCCTGTGAATCTTCTTTGTGCGGTCAGTCAATGGTAAGCTATGCTCTGCATTTGTTGTACGACCACAGTGACTAAGGATAATACAAAAGTTGGAGTAGAGGCTTGAAGCGAGACCCACGACGTTTTCTCAACAAAGCTTTATTTCCACGCGCAAAACGTTTTGTTTCATATTCTTCTGTCGAAACAGGCTCTTCGTACAGTATTTGGTTGCGTTAGCATCTATATCTTTTTTTAGAGTAATTTAAAAGAGCGGAATTTTTTGCGTATTCAGCGCACTTCAGGAAGTGCATATAACGAGAAAACCAATTTATTTTACAGTATAATCAGATTACGTGGCTACTCCCTTCTTCATACCAATTGGAGGCTTATCGCGGAAACATGATGTACATCAGGAGAAAATGATATTTGCGGTAATAAAAGGGTAAACGCATATCTAGAAAAATTTACTCGAGGATTTTTAGTTTTTTGTTTCTTTTTGTTCCCTATAATTGAAGTTTATTCGGTAAAATAATTGAACTCGATTGGTATTTGCATTTTTCACTCATATCCAGCGTGCTCTCTCGACACTCAATTCCCTATCATATATTTTCCTAACGGACGGAGCAAGCTCACCCACACCAGTAAATAAACGATTCGAAGATCCGTTTATCTGCTCCGACAGACCGTATGATCTCACTTAAACCACGTGACATGACTTCAAGTCACGCCTATGGCACTAAGACACGGCACTGCGCTCCACGAAAGAAAAAAAAATTCTTCGCCTAGTAGGTAGTATTTATGGGATACCATAGATTAGTTCGTTTCTTCACTCCGACCACGGCCATCGCTACAATCTTGGGGAGCCAATCAAGTCAAGCATCACTCAAAGTGTATATGCGGAGAGAAAGTCGTCTGCTTCTTAAACAGGAGTGGCGGTGACGTCAGAACAACGCCGAGCTCTGATTGGCTGATAGAAAAAAATAGTGTGTAGACCTCAATGCAAGATGCCTTAAAGTCTACGCACTATTTTTTTTTTCAAACAGCCAATAAGAACTTGGCGTCGTTCTGACGTCACCGCAACTCCTGCGCAAGAAGCAGGCGTACTCTACAAATAGTATATGCTGGCTACTGGCTCCCAAAAAGGCTTGTGCAGCATGCATTTCGCATCGCCGGGACAACCAGGACTATTGTTTTTTTCAGACGGGTAGTGAGAGCTCGTACTGACCATACACTGTGAGCAGCGCGATCAAATATGGCGCCCATTTAATACCACCGTATGCACTTTTGTGGGGTGTTTCGCTTCTCCTCTTTATGTAGGCTTCCATTTTCATCTCAATTTGATACCAAACGGCTGCTTTTCTAGCGTGAAGTTCAACTAAACTCTAGCCTTCGAGGAAAATGTGTTGAAATCCGTGTTAATTTCGCTCGTATTTTCTCTTAATTTTTCATCATCCCCTCGTTCTCTTCCCAAGAATAGCTGGTTCCTCTTACTCCGTGAGAAAGATTAGCGGTCGAGGTCTAACTTCGGTGCCTCGACCGCGTCTCTGGTCGCTGCGTCGACTACATTTTTATTTAATTCATTCGCTTTCCCCCTGCTGATGCCACATCCGGAAAACGCTTCAGACGGTGATAGAAACCGCGGCTGATACCGACTAAATTGTAGCTTGTCCTGCAGCCTGCCAGCCAATAAAAAAAGTTTCGCAGCAGTTGTTACGCCGTAGTCAGTGTCGAATGATCTCCAGATGTAGACAACCTTGACATGGCATTTGGCTGGTGATATAGTTACGAAATTGCAGAGGGGAAGCAAATTGACCTAGAAAGGCGGAGGGACTCTCTCACGATGTGTACGAGGCCGTACTTGCCCTATCGGAAAAACCAGCATGAAAATCAAACTGGCCAAGCTGGTAACTAAGCTGGTCAATCTGGTCAATGTGGTAATCAAACTGGTTTAACTGGAAATCAAGCTGGCTTAAGCTGGGCAAGGTAGAATTTAAGCTGGTCAGTCTGGTTTAAGTAAAAAACAGCATGGACTAACTAGAATCTGGTTTTATATTCAATCTGGTGTAGATAGGAGCCAGTCTGGTCCTAACTGGTCAAACTGGTTTTCCATGGAGCCAATGTGGTCAAGCTGGGAGACAAGGTGGTTATGCTGGGAGACAAGCTGGTGAATCTGGTCGAACTAATAATCGCGGTGGTCAAGCTGGTCATGCTGGGAGCGCGGACGCCAAGGTCGGCTAGAGATAGCCGAACTGGCATTGCTGGGAGCGCGCGCCAAGGTCGGCTTAGGATAGAGCGAGACCACTTCCTGTTCTTTGTCCTCTCGTTTTTGGTAGACGACAGGGCGCGTCAGGCGCACTGCAAGCTACCTTTGTGTGTGAGAAAAGAGAGAGAAAGAGTGGTAAGAACGGAGAATTTTAGGACACGTTTGGCTATCTTAGGCAGTTTTCGAAGGGACGGCTGTGTGCGCGTTGTTTGGAGACTAGTTGAACGACGATGCAAGCGAAGTGGGTTTTGAGGAGACAGCGAGCGGCACTCCGTTCGGTGCGGGAAGATGTCGGACGCCCCGACTGAGGCGTCACTTCGTGTCTTCGAACGTGTTTGTGCTCGTGAATGACGGTGGTGCCGAGGAGTATCGCCAATGCCATCCAAACCACACGGATTTCCTCGCCTCTGCCGACCACGCAAGTTGCCGCTTCGCCCCCATCACTGGCGGTACCCAGGTTCGCTGCTCTCATCCGAGTAGGTTTTTCTTTAGCTATTGCCTGTTTTTGGCGTGTGTCTAGTATTTTTCGTGTTGAAAGATAAACAATATGGTTTTATTAACATTGTTGGCTTTGCACTGAGAACCACTATCTGTGCGCCGGTTAGTACTGTGTCAGCGCCGAGGGTATGTAGCATCTGAGTTCATGTGAGGCGGCCGCAAGTACGAAAATAATAAATTGGATGAGTTGGCTTTTCTGAAGAGCTTGGCTTGTTTATCCTGTGTATTAAACAGGTTAAACTGGTTGGGAAGTCCACCAGCATGACCAGTATAACTAGCATGACCAGCATGCCAAACTGGGCATGCTGGGGCAATAACCCAGCTTGAAGCTGGGACCAGATCAACCACTATGACCAGCATGCCAAACTGGGCATGCTGGGGCAATAACCCAGCTTGAAGCTGGGACCAGATCAACCAGCATGACCAGCATGCCAAGCAGGGCATGCTGGGGCGATAACCCAGCTTGAAGCTGGGACCAGCTTAAGCTGGTTTTTTCAATAGGGATGGACAATACAGAATGTTTGTTTTCACTCCTGCCCCTAAAGGACAAGTCAAAGAGATATACAGCTGATGGGCTTTCATTCACCGCAGTGGCTGTGGTCATCGCCTTCTTCGTGTGCTGGGCTCCCTTCCACACCCAGCGCCTTCTCGTGGTCTACGTAAACCCGAGCCAGTGGACCCGAGGGCTTCGGACGCTCAACGAGGTGCTCTACTACACCGCTGGTAAGAGACTTCGAACGGAAAGCGAAATAGATCAGCGTAAATAAATTATGCCTACAGTCGCGGATGTTATGAAAATGCCCAGGCGAGGGCATGGCTTAGAAGGCCTGCCTGCTCCACGATCTATCAGAAGAAGGCTGAGCACATAACGAGGATTCAGGGGCTATTCAGTTGTGGTCGTCACACACCCCGCTTGACCAGTAGTCATTGACTTAAAGGCATAGTAGAATAAAATTTCGGCGCATATTTCTTGGTCTATTCGTGTTTAAGGGAGCATTATCACATAGGACACACAAATTTCTTGCTAATAAAAACACGAAAAGAAAGTTTAAGAATTAAACGATAAGCAAAGAGCACCTGGTGGATGTCGTTAAAACCTCGTTTGAAATTCCCGTCTAGGAACCTTGACAGGTAGTGACGATGTCTGTCTCGCCTATGCATGCCTTGAACCTGATGTCATTCCGCCAGCTCTCCGGCCACCACGAGAGAAATCACCGGGACTCTCTTTTGTGTCCCAGCCTCCAGGCGTCGCTATTGTCCCTTTACGAGATTATAGAATATTAACACGTCACTCAAAATTCGTACAAAAGCAGCTTTGGGGTTAGATGCGGTGGCCGATCGCTGGCGTGCTTCGACCGCTTTGGTGGCTGGAACGGCTATGACATATCGTCCAGCCAGCAGCCAGCGGAGAGTACGCGTACTCTCCGCTGGCTGCTCTCCAAGCGTTTGTAAGAGTGTCCCGTTTATAACGAAAAATACAGCCACCAGGCTCAAAATACAAACTTACGATTGTCATTTACGGATATTGGGGATCATATTCAGCCTATTTCTGGACACGACCTCTATATTTCAAATTTAGTTTAAGTATCTCTACTCGTTGTCTCTGGGGGATACGCGGCAATCAACAAAACTTGTCCCCTTCCACTGGTATACATTCGCCGTCAGCCCCGTGGCGAACTGTTTTTTGTGTCGATCGCTCGCCGTGATCTTCAAATATGCTAATCCTTTAAAAGTCGACCATCGCGGAGGAAGCAACTGGGGTCTCTGAAACAGAATCCAAAGGGAAACCACGTTATCCCCCCGAGTACGTCACTCGAAAGGCGACGTGGAGATGTTGAGATGCACTTCGACCTTCGATTTGTTTCATTATTTTGAAATAAAAACTAGCGCTCGCAAGAAAATACGGTTTTTTATTCTTCGTTCCATAGGCGACACAGATTAATTTCCGCAGTTAATTGTCCCAAGTCCGAAAATCGTTGCGCCCCCCCCCCCCCCCCCCCCCCCCTCTTTAACAAGACCCAGAGGACACACTGGCGCCATCTATTGGATAGCAGTGGAAACTTGGTGGTCCGGCATATTTTCTATTTTTCTCGCGCATCATCCTTTTCTTCTTGGCTCGAAACACTTTTTTCAACGTTATAAACGAGCATTTCTCATTAGTATTACACACAGTTGACATCGGAAATCTCGCAAAACCTTCGCTTTCGTGAAATGCAGTTTCAGGGTCACCGCATAGATGGCGCCAGCGTGCCAGTGTGTTCTCTCACTAAGAAATTTTAAGGGGCTTCAAGGCACTCGGGTCTAAGGAGTTGCAAGTGCGTGAACGGGCCTTAGAGGGGCCCTGCAATCATATTTAAGCGTCCACCTTTTTTGCGGTTTCCACGTCTTTTGGGGTTTGGGCAAGCCAGCGGGCACGGAGAGAGTAACTAAATGCCAGTGCGTCATATTTTAACCGGACGACGCGGAAACCTCCTCCACCGACGAGGGCGACCCGCGGTACCGAAAGCGCTCAAAATGTGACGTCCTTGGTCCTGGGCTTACTACTGGTCAGAGCCGCTAAAAGCTTCTTTTTAGTCGAAATACAAAATATTAGTGGCGCCGAACCGTTTCAATTATTTATAAAAGTAGTTTTTGTTCATTATTTTAGATCAAAAAAGAAACGAATGCAGTTCATAAAGTGCAGAAACAAGAAATGACCCGTCGACATACCCGCCACCAAGCGATGGAAAAAGCGGCGCATACTAGAAAGGAATAGTGGGATCAGGCGCCGACACGGAAAGGTCCCGGATGTACGCGGCGGCGCTGCGGTCGTTTGGGCAGGAGGATCCGACCGGCTCCGGGCGTTGCGAAGGCCTTCGGCGAGAAGCTTAGTCTTGCGGTTTGGTCGTTTCGCGGTATGGCAGCGCAAAGTAGCTCCCATTCTGAACTGATCTTTACCCCGTGTTTGCTGTCGTTTGTGGCCAATGAAGTGTCATGCCGAATTAGTATTTAATCGCGCAGCAAATGCAATGATAGCCGTTCTGGCTGCCCGCTGCATACAGCCTATCCAGAACACGCTTCAATGGCGCCCTCTCGCGCCGTCGACTCGGAGTGCGGCAGCCGCGAGCGCTCGATGAGCTCACTACTTCTCCTCTAGTTCACGGCCACTCTCAAGCAACCAAGGACGTCACGAGGGAGGTTATTTTTTGCTTGTTTTTGTAATTTTAATTTGCCTATAGCTTTTAGAATAAAGGGAATTTCGAGAACAGAAAAGTTTCAATAAGTTACTACGTTCAGTGCGCTCAGGTTCGGTGCAAACTAAAAATTAGTAAAAAAGTCATTGCAGGGCCCCTTTAAGCGATTTAGCGAGCGACGAGACGAGCGGCGACGACAAGCGACGAGAGTCAGCGACAAGCGACGGAGATTTCTCACTGTCGCTCGTCGCGTCGCTCGTCGCGTCGCTCGGATTTTGAATTTCTAGAAAATGTAGCTCATCGCCTTGCTCGCTTGCTCCCGTCGCTTTCATGAGGTTTGTCTCGTCGCTCGCGAGATCGCTTGCATACGGTTTATACTTTAAGCGCCGAATATGAAGGCGTTCCGAGACAAAAGGCAAAATCGAGCGTGACTGAAGCCATCAATTCGGCAGTCTAAGCGATCTGCTTTTTTTTTTTTTATAATGTTTTTGCGGGGTTAATGTCAATAAGGCGAATTTTGTTTATTTCACCGAACACCACTATACTATCGGTGTTGATTCAGCAATTGTTCGCCGTCTAAGTGGGGAGTAACGAACAAAATTCAACAGTTGCTGAAATGCCACTCGTCCACACAATAGTATCGATGATATCTCAGCTGTCTTTCGTTAGATAGCACTGACGGCCGGTCTTCGGGGCCACGCGCTCGCACTGGTCTTTCTCATATCGTCCGCGACTGTTCCTAGGGTCATGGTGCTTAACATGTTTTCGTGTTTGCGTCTTGCCATGTCTAAACGCTCACCAACGTAGAATTAACGTGTAACCAGCTATTTCTGATTATTATTACGATAACAAATGAAAACCGACGACTACTGGAATTATTGAACTTACATCAAGGCGTTCCGAAGAAAGCCTATCTTCGTTTATGGGCGTTACGATATTTAAATAGGCACAGCTTCGACAGCATCAGATAGGCAACACAACGCTCAAAATAAATTATGGATTTCTTACTATCTCATAGCTCCGAAAAATTTGCTATCACATTTAAAAACGCTCGGGAACCAATTGTGAGGTAACGACGATTGTTGCAATTTGCCACACAGACTTTCTAAAACAATTTATGGCAATAGTAAAAAAATGGTAGCCGAGGTTGGTTATGAATCATGTTTTTATTACGTATGTGATATTTCCAAGTTAGTTGTTAAAATATTTAAAAAAAAGTAATAAAACAAATACGGCAGCGAATTTTGCATGACAACTACGCGGTGATAAGGAGGATATCGTGATAGCGAAATCAATTTGCACGAAATAACGGCTACCTTTGCTACTGTCACTGCCTTCGATGGTACTTTCACTTCCCGTGCACCATTTTAGGACGAGAAATGCCGAAGCACGGTCAGAGACAGCAAGCTCGCGCTGATGATGGGACTGCAAATAAAATAAAATAAAATATCTCCCTGACGCTGTGACGGCGACCGTGTTGGTTCCTATTTCTCTTTTTTTATTTTTATTGAATGCTTACTGACTTCTTGTTTACGTTTCTCCAGGCTGCCTGTACTACTTCAGCGCCACCATCAACCCAATCTTGTACTCCCTCATGTCCGTCAAGTACCGGGAGGCCTTCCGTGACGCTCTGTGTACCCTGTCGAAGACTAAGCAACGGCTCTCGGCCGCAGACTTCGATCAGGCCGCCACGGTCGTGGTCGTCGGCGCAGGTCCTCACCTCCTCGATGACTCACGGGTCGCCAAGCTCGGTCCTTACAGTGTTCTCCCACAACAAGACGCAGACACAGTCCCACCGGTCACCGAGGCGCCCACCATGAAGTATCTCATCATCCAGGCCGTGCTCGGGGTTAAGCCTAACGTGGCCGCCGTGTCGTCTTGCGTCACCAAGGAAGCAGACGACGTGGTTTCTTACGGAGAAGAAAAGAATGCGAACGAAGTCGTGAGAATCTCGAATGAAAACAGCGCCTGCTCCGACGTAAAGAGAGAGGGAGAAACCGCCGTTTAAGTGGTTTGTGACTTCAAATCGCCGTGGTCCTGGCGTGTGACTCTGTGAGAAGGAACGGTGTGATGTAAGCGGACATGTCTTCTTACTTTCGGCTTCTTCACCCCGCGTGTTCGGCAGCTCGGCTACATGTGCTGGGCCTATCTAATCCCCAGTGACATTAATCTTTCTGGGTCTTATATATATATATATATATATATATATATATATATATATATATATAGAGAGAGAGAGAGAGAGAGGGAACAAAGAAAGAAAACATTCATCAAAAAAGTGGTTGAGTGATGTCATCTTGACTTACTCCTTAATATGCGTATTGATGAGCCTACCACCTCTGCAAGGCTCAGACATCCGACGAGATTAACATGGCCAATTGTCTACTACGAATGGTCATGCGCGATGTACCAAAAGGGTACCTGCTACTGAGAAACTCGTGGGAAGTTAACCCTATTTCAACCGTCCGTTAATTGAACAACTTGTGGCTTCGACATCTTTTGGTAAGGGAGTAGCGCTATTCAGTAGAACCGTAAGTGGACCATTCTAACCATACTGGTGCGACGAATTACTGACATAAATAAAAAAAAAATATTAGCTGAAAGCGAAGCTTGCTCATAAGTGAATCGTACAGTGATACAATGCGTGAAACTCCGACAGTAAAATCGTATAAAGCGGGTAACAGGTGAAGGGTGAAACTGGGAAATGCGCGCCGCTCACCGCTCGCTGCTAGACGTACCAGCATAAGCGCACCACGCAACATTTTCTGTACCGACCAAATCTGAGCGCGCGGCACCGAAGGAATGCCAGCACCGGTAGCTATGGAAACTGTCGCGCCGCAGTTTCTATTTTTATCGCTCATGTGTCCCCATCCTTAACTTTCGAAACTTCTCAAAGAATTGAGAACAATTTCGGGTTAGTTGGTAAAAAATATATAAACAAATATTTTATTTGAGAATGCAGTCGATTGGACAGGTAGACATGTATGCAAGCATCTAATATAATAGTTAGCGTTTGCGCGAGAGATTCTTTCCTTGAGCTTAGTGCTCTATATATTCCATAACAAAAAAAAAGATAAAAATAATTCGTATGCAAAACGCGTGATCAAGAAAGCTCAAATTTAATTCGATGCGAGCTAAAAGAGACCTCAGATAAAACTTTTAAATTCTCGCATTACGATCTACGCCTAAGTTGAGTTACCTGTTCAAGTGCTTCGCGAGTGTTTCTACCCAAAAACTGCATTTTTTACAATAGTATTTTCTTTCTCTATAGAAGTTTCTCTTTACCACGTAGTTAAAAATACTTCAAACTAAATCAAACATAAAAGTAAAAAAATATTTTCCCAAAGAAGGCAAAGAAACCCCAGCATGCCACGACTACCAGTACCTCATGCATAAGTTTAGTCCAGGAGACTAACCTATCATGACATTTGTTGGTCACCTGTTAGTCACGTGATCCAGCAGTGCTAGAACTGTCCGCAACGTTACAAAGGTGCCCTATGAGAGGCTTTGAGACATGACACCTTCCAACGAGACCACCTCGTGAAGCACAAACACTGGACGTGTCTAGAGTGCCCGAACTCGAACTAGCCTCGAATGAGAAGTATCCCTCGAAGGGACTGTTGCTGTGTGAATCAACAAAATGGGGTTTTCGACCGAAATGTGTTCACTGCCAAAAAAGAACAATGGAAAATCACAATCTGTTGTCTCGTCCGTCCCTGTGAATACGTTTGAATTCTGTTTGTGCACACAGTAGTTAGAGACCTCATAGTCACACCTGTATTCCATGGTTAATCTCTTCCGTTTGTTTGTTCCTACGCTCCGCCTGACCTACGATGAACTACGGTCAAATCTAGGGGCTGCTAGATCCAATACCTGGCCAGTTAGAAACCACGTGATATGCTGCTGCGACGGGCGCTAACAGTACATAGCTTTGACGGCAGTTTACCGTAGCGATAGGTGGAGCATAGTAAGGTTTAAAAGATATCTATACAAAGTGATTGCGTGATACGATAGTTAGCATAAAGCGCGCGTAAAATGAGCTACCAACTTTCCACAATTCCTGCGCTAATGTCGGCATTTGTTGCAAAATAAAAGCCGTAAAAGTATTTCATAAAACATTTACTCCGCTTTGAAATACAGAGGTCGGAACTCTTAGACATCTGTGCCAAGACGAGACGTTTAGCGTCGAAGTTACCTGTTTCTACGCTTACGATATTAGGCTATATTGATGCCGGCTGATGCAACCCTTAACGTGTTTGTGGCACATTCTATGAAGTCATTTGAAACAATTAGTTAATCTTGTAGAAGAACTACTGCTGAACTTGCGAGCATTTTGTCGCTCGCGAGTGAAAACACAAAGTATGTTATTGTAAGAGATCTCGACCCCGTTTGTATTTATTGGAAAGTGCATTGACATTGTACCAGCCGGGTTCGGTAATGCGTGTAATAAAAACAAATGAGCTGACAATAAAGTTTCGTTGTTATCGTTTAAAGACACTTTTCCTCACCTTGTCCTGGATGACTACTCTAAAGCTATGACAGTGTTTTACAAGGTGTCCAATGATTCATTATGAGACTTAAGGACCAATCTAAATTGTCCGAAGTGAAGAACGCCAAAACACATAAGGGTCGGCCCTCATAAACTATAAGGCGATTTCATGAAACTCCTTTTTTTTCTTTAAAAGCCGCGCTGCTCCATTTTGATGAACAGCGTCCGCCAGTTTTGCCTTTTTGTTATGGGCAGACGGCTAGCTGTTGGCGTCGTTTTCGGTGTTGGTGAAACGCTGAGGCATGGCGAATGGCTCCGTCGACGACAGAACTCAGTAAGTACGATTCGGAACGTATTTGGCCCGCATAAAGTCAAGCTTAGTCGAATCTGTTTCTTTTCGGAGCTGCCCCGGTGGCATCTACCGGGGCCGTTTTGGCCTCCAATATGGCGTATTTTCGATCACTGGCTCCTCTTCAGTCCAAAAATATGTATGGAAAATTGCTAGACTATCGTGAATCATAGGTGAAACGTTCCAAGATAAAAAAAAACGTTTATATCATCGTTTAGCAGCCCGTTTCGTCTCCATCAGATTCATCAGATAATGTAACGCGTGGCATGTGTACATTTGAAATGATAAACCTGGTGAACTTCCAGAATTTTCTGACCCACTCCTCCTCTCTCTCCTCACCTACCTCTCCGCCTCATTCCACCCCCGGTCACATGACCTCCCCGTTAACCAATCAGCGTCGAGCACCTCGCTCTTCCTTTCCCACCCGTCAACCAATCAGTTTCGAGCCTCACGGTCACGCTCTTATCCAGGTTTCACGTTTGGGCTCGAACGCCAGATAATGCTTCTATGTGTCGCCGACTACTCCGGGAGCGGTAGTCGATGACGACGTAAAAAAAACTCGACCGAGCTGGACAACACTATAACTCCTCGCATATGAAGACATACGGCGAAAGCTCGTCAACGTGGAGTAAAACGAGATTTGTAGCTTCAGAAGGTCGAAATTCCTGCAAAATGTCGTCCGTAAAGCTATCGCTTGAAAGGGGCGATGCAACGATTTTTGTACTTTGCGCAAATACCGCTTAGAACGAATCCCTGACGCTAATCATCTATGCAAACACGCGGTCGTTTTTCACCACAGGTAATAGAAGATGCAGAAGAAAAAAAATCAAAGAAAAACGTGCAGCGTTCACCTCCTCAACTCGCCGCCAGAACAAGCAGCTACGTGATCTGGAGCCGATTATATGCCACCAATGTTGATCCTAACCACGCGCTGGGGTTGGCAAAACACAGGACACGCGCTGAGTTCCAGACATTGTTATTGTTTGGCTATTGTCGTCAACGCAGTGACTAGACAAGGGCAATGGCACGGGCCGAATGTTTGTCGAGCTATTGATTATCACGAGCCCAAATCGAGTGCTCATACGATTCTCGGATTCAATATATAAGCCGCATTGAAATATTGTCATTGGGGAATACTGCGATGCTCCAGCTACGTCATCAAGTTTCGCGAAGGAGAGATTGAAAGGAAACGCTCGCTTTTGTCCTTGAGATTACACCGCAACAAAGAAATTTCTTGGTCAGTGGCGTTGCGTGCGAGTATACGTGTGTTCCCCTAGCGCCAGTTAGCTCTTGTAAAGTAAAATACTTTCCAACAAAATAACGACGCACCGTCCCTTTCAAAGCGCAAGTGTTGCACAAAATCCGTCCAGTGTTCAATTACCCTCTAAAGCAGTGCCTTTACGGATACTACGTCGTGCATGCCGTTTCTCTATAGTGATCTTATGTAATACTAGTCACGTGTTTGTGTCACATAAAAAAATATAACAAACACTGACTATTTTGATGATTACTTAATAAATTAGAGCCCATGATCGCCGTATCGCACACGGTGGCTGCTGGAGAAAAAAAAAAGAAGAAAAAAGAGTCGGGGTTTTGAGGCAAAGCGCTGGCCTACGAATTCCCAGATGGCGGCTCCGAATCCCACTTTGTGCTATCACTGACTAACCCGATCGCACACCCAATCACACTGCGTTTATTGTACGTGATTGGTTTAGCCGGTGACGTTGCTCGATTGGCGTCCTCCAGATGGTAGTGTTGGGTGCGCTTGGACTTGACGTAAAGTGGACCATGCACTCCAAACAATGCCTGCGCGTCTATACTTACCCGCCGAACACTCAAAGAGCCCATCTCTGCAATCTACGAAATCATCTCAGCGAGTGATGAGGCGGAACATCCGATTAAACCTCAAAATGAAGTTACGCAATGCAAATCATCATGCTTGCATTGCGTAATACCACAGCGGAGACTTACTTTCTAAACAAATGTTCCGCTTCATAATTCGTTGAGTTGACTTCGTAGATCGCAGAGATCGGCTTTTTTAGTGTTTTGCGCGTAAGTAAACGTGCGGGGATTTTAAGAGTCTAAGGTCGTAACTCACAATCCCCAAAATATTTTACAACTAGTATTTAGTTGTTTATTGGCTACATCAGTCGTGTCTTCGGTTCCGTTG